GAAAAGGCTACGCACTCTCTCGCCATCGGGGATGATATCAACGCCTGCCATATTTTAGAAGGTGGGCCTTGGAGTGAACAGCCACGGTCAGCAGCCAGCGAAGCTTATCGAACCCAGGGTCAGCGGGATGCGCCGGAACGTGCGCCCGACTGCTGGGGGGCTCCGAAAAGAATTTGATTCTTCGCGGTATTTGGGATAATTTTGGGTTCAGTGGGTCAATTGGCTGATGGGAACGAGAGGAACATCTCAGGATGACGTGTGAATGCTGGCGCCAGGGTTTAAGCAATCGGCCGAGAACATCGTCGGCAATGTCTCGAGGCGTTATCGGCCGGGATGGAGTCGTTTGGAATACGAGGGCGCTCAACAGAATGACTCGCAAGCATCGATACATCATCGTTTTTGAGCTGGCCGGCCGCATTCAGAATGGAGCTTATTCGGCGTCCGGAAGGAATCCATCGACGGGCATTTCTCATCCGTCCTCTTCCATCATTTATCGACGACTCGTCACCCTCCATCCAACATGACACTCGAGTCCCTCACAGCCCAGCCGCAAGCGTACACCCTCCATCGGCAACGAGCGTCTGTCCATTGACAAAATGATTCGACGCCAACACCAACACGGCCTGCGCCATGTCGATATCCCTCCCGGGCCTGGCGCCGGGACATTTGCCCTCATGCTTTTCCTTGGGAACATGGCTCTTTTGATACTCATCCGACTCACCCGCCGTCATCTCCGCGGAAACGGACCCGGCGCAATCCCATTGACCCGGATCTAGTGTCCATTCTCGGCGATTTCGGCCGCCAGCGTACGCGTGAGATACACGGCTGCAGGCGTTATAACTGAAGTCTGTTTCTCATTAGAGCCCCCCCCCCTTCTCTCACCCTCATCACCGAACCAAACCGCGAGGACACAAAAAAAGAAAATAAGGAAATGGAAACTCACGATGCTGCACCGACTCAACCAACCCCGAAATCGAACTAACATTGGTCACCGTCCCACTCCACCCCACATGCCGCTCACTGCTCCTCCGCAACAGCGGCGGAAACGCCGTCGTCATAAAAAAAAAAAATCGCCACATTCGTCGCATACGTCCCCGTCCAATCCTCCAGCGTCGTTTTGTCGGTCTCAAACAAAGTTGGCTTTCATCTCTTCGGCGGTATTCACTCTCCGACGTCAACGAGTTACTGTTCACGCCCGCGTTACGGACCAAAATGCAGAGACATTTTTTCTCGCGCCTCGATCTCTTGCAACGAGCTTGGCAACATCCGATTTGGAGGTGGCATCGCCGACCAAACGGGATGATGGACCTTTCGATGGCGCGGCCGTAGGTGAACACGACGGCGTCGAGCTTGGATTTGTCGCGCCCTGCGATGTAGACTTTGGCGCCGTTGTCGGCGAGGGTCTGGGTGATCATTAGGCCGATGCCGCTGCCGCTGCCGCCGCCTGTTACGAGGGCGATGCGGTCTTTGAGAGAAAACAAGGAATCGCGGTGCAGGGACGGGTGGGAGGCTGTCGAGGCGGAGGTTGCCATTTTGGATTGGTGGACGAGGACTCGAGGTGTGGGTTGGCGATTGGGAAATCGAGGGGGGAACTGTAAAAGACCGAGTGGTTGCTAACGCTCTGGTGATGCTTGTTGTAGTGGTGGTTTTGGGTTTGGTGATGGCGGCTCGAATGGGGAGGAGGGACATTGTTCGACAGACGGTGTTCGTCTGATATTGAAGAAAAGGGCCGAAAGGGGAATTGGGGTTGCATTATCTGGGGTTTCCATGACGGGTGTGTCAAAGGATGGTGGGCATTTTATGACGAAATGAAGTTGACATGATGTTCTGTGACGAAATTGATCGGAGTGTTTGGGGTTGAGCTTGCGCAATTGGCGAATAAGAGGGGGAGATTGTTGGGGAAAGATTCTCCACTGTTCGGAGGCGAGGGTGTCGATCTGTGAGCCGCATATTCGGCTGCTTGCAGGTGAGTGATGCGTTCATTTTGGATGGTGCGGATGATTCTAATCGGCCCTGGATGTCAGTTTGAGCACAATGACTGTGGACCTATACCAGCCTTCTACATCCCGAGCAATAGTTTTTCGCCATACTACGGCGTACGTTCTAGTGTAGAACCTATGCTCGAATTAATTTTAAAGCCCTCCACCCTCAATGCGACGTACTTTGGTTATGCTTCTTCCTTTTATGCGCTTCTGTACACCCTGAGAGTAGTTGGTGAAGCCCCAGAGTATTTCGCAGATCCGCCCTGTGATATCTCCTTTGGGGAGTTGCAGTCTGGATGGATGGTCACTCACTTGGTCTCAACACATTAATAAATGCCTCTTCAGCACCTTAGATGAAGGTGTTGGACGGCAGTCAAATATATGCGGAGCTACACCTTGAGGTGGGCTAGTGTAGCGGTCTTTAGCGTAATGATACTTCACTGCAATAGCCCTGAGAGCCGTCCTCTCCTCCACCCAAGGAACACCAAGGCGCTACCAGGATCGAAACATACTCGCCAGGCCAAAGAGACCAATAAAACAAATCCACTAGCTTCGTCGACCGGCGTGTCTCGTCAACGAATCCTAAAGACAATCTCCATAGACTCCTGTCGCTCCCCGCGCATAATCCCATGAATATAAGCATAAGGTACTCTTGAATCGCAAAAACGCCGACTTCTGGCCAAAGGATGATTGGGTATGTGCTACCAAGAGCAGCACGCACAACATCCCCCGGCTCAGCCTTTCGCACGGCGCCCAAGATTTTCTGCCAGAGTTGCCTTAATGCACTTCTTCCTTTACCGGGTTCCATCACTGTGTTGCAGAAGTAAGTTTCGTTGTAGTTCTCAACAAATTCAACGAGGAACGAGAATTCCAGAGAGGGGGAGCTCGCTCATTGGAGGCGTTATCGATGCTCTAGGCAGGCTGAGCATTCCTGCCAGGTCTCCATGGGAGCGCTTCGCCAAACCGAAATGGGTTCCGGAACAACATAGGTTTGTCCCGACGTGGGATCCGCGACGGAGTTTTGTTATTGATGGTGTAGAGAAGAATGTCTGTGTTCCGGTAAGCGGTTAGTGTTGTTTTAGTCGAGATTAATTGTTGGCTTATCGTAGCCAGGCTTCGAAAGAGGGGTTTTAATGTCTTGCTTTATGAGACCTAAGAGGCTATAGATTGCGTTACGTGCATCGGAACTGGAGAAGTTGGATGTGAGATGTGATGTGTAGAGCCCAATTGTTGGCGGATGTTTAGTTCTTGAATGACCCAGACCCTGGTGAAATATGAATGAGAATAGAGCCACAACAACGATTTCCACAATCTCGGCTGTAGAAAATTCGCACTCGTTTGGAAGTGGGAGTGTTTCGCGGTTCTTGAACACAACCTCCTGGTAAACGTCCTTGCTCGATTCCAAGTTGGAGACTGAACTACCAAGACTGCCTACTGGGAGTCGTGGGAGCCTTACGCGTCAACGCAATTGGTCAGCGGTGCGGGAGAATGTTTCAGTTTGTGCGCGGGGTAACGCCCCAAGTGTCCAGGGTTTGGTCTCATTGTTCAAGACTTCTTCAGCACGGCTTGGAATTCAACATGGCAACTGTTACGGCCGCTGCAGCCCGCTTCCGTCTAATCTTCAACGTTCCGCTGCCCGCTCTCGAGTCATGTAAGAGTGCAATCTTCGCCGCAGGTGCGGGCCGCTATCCCGGGCCAGGGGGGTATACGGAATGTTGCTGGACCGTTATCGGGACAGGCCAGTTCCGCCCAGGAGACACGGCAAACCCGCACCTGGGAAAACCGGGTGAGCTGGAGAGTGTCCAGGAAGCAAGAGTTGAGACACTCTGTGTTGGCGAAGATGTGGCAAGGAAGGCAGTCGCGGCACTGAAATTGTATGTTCTTGTCCAGCTTCAGCCACACTGTTGATGAAAGTGCTGGTTGGCTAACAGTCGATCTACAGAGCGCATCCGTACGAAGAACCTTCGTATAGCGTATATAAAATGGAAGATTTCTGATCCGGCTACTCATAAAGGAGGGGTTCCGTCACTTTGGTCGTCCTAGCTTCGGTCGATATTTACCAGCCAGAACGCGACGGCTGACCTGAAGATATTACTATGTTTGGGGTCAAGGCAGGAACAATCGCAGACGTATTGGAAGAGTACTTAAGCTCGCCTCGATAGCCGCACCAAGACACAGAGAATCCCGGCTGAAGGACTTGCTAGCATCGTATTGCTTCCGGGGGTTGGTAGAACTACCGTGGCAGAGCGGCTGGGTACCGTGTTTCATGAACTGGGATTGCTGCCGATCGAAAAGGTGGTTGAATGCAGTGCCTCAGACCTGATGGGCGACTACTGGGCTGAACCACCCCAAGATGTGTCGAACAGCTCGAACGAGGCCTCGACAAGGTTCTCGTCATCAACAACATCCACACTTCGACCGACACGCACTCTCGTGATCGATAATATAACAGAGAGGATCTCGATGCTGTTGTATCTTTTACGCGGAAAAAATGCCGCAAGCATGGTGCTCATCTTGGTTGGGCTGTCGGAAGGGGTCAACGAACTCTTGGCTGATCGGCCAGGCCTTGCGTCTCTTTTCCCGACCGAAGTCACGTTCTCAGACCTCACTACACAAGAAAAGACTTTGAGTTAAAGTTGCTACGTGGGAGTCCCTATTGCCACCAATCGTGAGACAGAAATTCTCCCATCCCATAGAGGTCCTGTCGAGCGCTTCTTACTGGAGCAACGCCGTGGATATCGAACGCATCGCACAACACACGATTCAGCAAGTTGAACCTGACTTGTGGACCAATGGGGAATAACAAGACGATCTTCTGTGCCTCTCCGAGGACATCGTGATGGCTTCCACCGAAGCGGTATTCAAGACAAAGAGATACAGGGCTCAGAAGTCGGTCCGGGATGAACAGAAGAGACGGGATTGTGAGGATAGTTGAGATCTGTGAAGCGATACTTGTAACCCGCGAGAGTTAGCAAAAAGGGCAGCCATGTTACTACATGGACGGAAAATAGAATTTGATGCAGGTTGAGTGGCTTGAACACTCGACCTTCAGATTCTCGATTGAAGTGGACTTCAGTCTGACGCTCTCCCAACTGAGCTAAACCTGCTGTGGATTCGGATTGTTGATGTTGATGGAGTCAGCTGCGCTTCGACTCCGTCATATCCACCATATGCTCGAGTCATGACACCGCACTCAACCCTGTCGGTTGCAACCAACTTAGCTCGTGCCAGGTCAGGAATGATATATTATATTAGGATAGCGAGGGATCTTGATTTCGATCTTGGTTCCCTGTTTACTCAATCCTTGTGCTCCCGCTCTTGAGTAGCCAACTCGACATCGGTCTTGGGCCAAAAGTGGCTGAGATCTCCGACAGGCAGGTTCAGCGTGATGCGCATCTCCCCGGCCATGATGATGAAGCACATGTACCAGCCGAGCACCGCGACGATGAACAGTAGCGCGCCGCCGCCCTGTCACAACCATTAGCTCTTGTCTTTCGGGATGGGCATGGGTATCTCACCTTTTGAAGCTTCCCAGCAGCGTCGAAGTCACCCGTTGACACCTTCCAGTACGCGCCGGACAGAACCCAAGCACCAACACTGACAAGCAAGAAGATGGCAGCAAATACGCTGTTGATCTTGCAGGTGAAGATGAAAAAGGTGAAAAGTGCGAACCCCCACACCAGCAGATACAATGCAATCACAGCATTATACTGAGGCGAAGAGAATCCAGTCGGGTCATCGGCCGTCGCATATGCCGCGGCAAGTCCGAGTGTCGGGAGTTGGAGCATTCCAAACGACAGCCAGAAGACAGCAAACAGGCCCATCACCATCATGGGGAAAAAGTTGCCCATGACCCACTCGAATACCATGGCGAACAGGAGGAGGACGGGCCCGACGAAGAAGAAGATACCACTGTGACAGTGCGTGTCAGACAGGTCGGCGATTGCATGGCTCTGCAGCGGGGTTCGGGATTCCGCTCGACTTACACGACCGGGGTAAAGCCGGATGCGCCGCCCCAACCCATGAGGACCATGGAGAAGGTAAAGGTGGAGATGACGAAGCTTGCTGGTTGTCAGCTTACCGCTTCGTCGTGGAGGGGAGAACGGGCAGCAATTACCCGACGAAGCCAAGAGCGGTCGGGTTGGCGAAGCGTTTGTTGTAGTCGCCCACATGGGGAACCTTGGGTGTCAGGTAGAGCTTCTCGAAGAGCTCGGGGGACATGGTGACGCCCGTCGTGGTCTTGTAGAGACCTTTTTCTTCATCGTGAATGGCGCGGATGCCGCCATTGTTGGCTGTGTTGATCGGCTCGGTTGTGGCCATCTTGTTCGATGTCGTCTCTCGGCAAATAGGGGATGACAGTCGCAACAGCAGTCGTCTGGGAGAGTCGGAGGGGAGCCCAGGCCGGGCGAGGGAGCTTGGGTACTCTTAAATAGCTAGGCGCCAGACACATCGCGCCGTTTGCAGACACGAGAGTGGCATCTGTGCGTGGTCGGCAGGGTGCGCCGGTGCGTGGTGGTGGGATGGTTTCTGGCTGGTCAACCATAGACTTGCTACCACGGGCGGTATAGCTGCACGAGGCCGACCGCGAGGTTACTGCGACCTTGACCGATTCGGCCTGGGCGTCAACGACCCCGGACGCGTCTGACTGAAATAGCCCTATGGCGTTGGAGCTCTGCGCTCGGTCGTCGGCGAGCTGCAGCGTGGTGGTCGGGGACTAGGCCGGTAGCGCCATGATATTGACAAACCGAATGGTACCGAATGGGTGACGGCAAGCCGTGTGACCCGTTTAGGAGCGTCGCATCGGTAGCTTAACTGCCGGTAGTATTAAAACAGCCGACTTGGGTCTCCAATTGAGGGGAGCCCAGCCACTGTCATCACCTCCCGAGGCAAGAGCACAACGGCAATCGAGCCTGGACTGTTGTTCAGGTGGTTGGAGGGTGTCTGGATCATGATATTGCTGGGCTGGTCTGTTCTCGTCCCCCTGTGCGTTTTGCGTAGGATCAATGGGACACGGGAAACCAGGACGGGAACTTTTGTGGCATCGAGAGGGTTCCCTTCCCGTGTGGTGCTCTGGGCGGGGTCTGTGAGAAGCCCGGCGCAGCGATCTGGCCCTGGCTGACATGCGTCAGTGGAACATCGAACTGCGGGGAACTTGGGGAGGAAGGATCGGGAAGCCTGACCGGATGCAGCTACTCTTTTCGAGCCTAGCTTGCTTCTTCTCTCTTTTCTGGATGACACTATTTGTGCGATTCGAACCTGTTGGTTCTCGCTCCGAGTTGGTTCGTGTCGCATCGAAGCACTGAAGCTGTGGCTGCAGCCAGACGGCCGAAAGCTGGACGGACTGCTCGAATTTCAACTCGCTTCATTGATCAGGATTTGTTTGAGTTTCATTGCCCCGGCCTGCTGTGCCTCATTGGCGCTTCTGACCCTCCATCACACTGTTCCCACCGTTTTCCCAGAGTTTTCTTGCCCTGCCCAACACTGGTGGCAGACACGATACAAGCCGGCCAACCAATGTTGAGAGATGCCCGGGGAGCGCTGCAAATTTCCGCCGTTCGAACACATTGCAGTTCGCTTCTCCGGGCTGCTCTGCTGCTGACTGCAACAACGATCGACTTCGGAGTCACCGTCAACAACACCCCCTTTCTCAGAGAAGCCATCGCCCAAACTGTTCAACTGCAAACAGTACTGCAACACCGCTCGAATGAGCCATGTTTTCTTGCACGTTGACTGCACCATCGCCTCTTCCCTGAGAATTTTCGTCCCAAATGTGCACGCGTTTTTGACCCGCGGGGCAGTGTCGAGTCGGGATTTGGATGCACCAGGGTTTGCCAGTGACTGCAACTCTCCGAGAGAGGTGGTCCACGATAAGCCTTCGGGAGCTTCCGATAGGATTCAACTTTGCTTCAACCTTAGTTCCTCGATTTAAATGTCTCCTGGTTTCCTTTGTGACTTGTTGAAAAGTTGGGAAGTTGGGGCGTTGGCGATGTTCTGAAACTCGTTCCATCGAATGCTGACCTTTCCATGAATGCGCAGAACCACCCCCTCGCGCCAGAGACTAGCAGCGGTGGCGGTCACGAGATTGGTATCAACTCTTCCAGAAGGTTACGCGTTGCAGCGGAATGAGGCAGGACAACGCTGATGCCGGGGCTCCAGCGACTGTCCTGGGCCACCAGCATGCAGTCTGACGCAGGAGACGATCGTGGGGCCAAATGCGCACCCTTTTCGGGTCGACAAGCGCTCCAGCTACAACAGCAAAACCCAACCCACAGAGATCAGCGAAAGCAAGGCCTTGGGATGCGAGCTCTCCCAGGGGGAGCGCACCAATTTCCGTAGGACCACGCACCAATCTCTCGCCAGTGCTGTAATTAGACATTAGCCAGATGTCCCGACTGGACTTCAACCGGCCACATGTGCGTGCGGCTGGGTTGCACCACGATCCTATTTCAGATCTGTGGTCCACTGAAATTCGCCGGTTCATGGCTGGGCAACGCCTTTCTGGGGCGGTGACCACCACTCAGAATGCACCTTTGAAGGCTCGGACCGGCTTGTGCTTCCAATCGCGAGGTTTATCTACCAGTGTCGCAACGGCCCCTCCCGCTCTCGCATTCTTTGCTCGGTTTCCTATGTTCCCCTCACCGAACATCGTTTCTCGATTTTTCAACCCTCCCGGCACATCTTTTCAGGACGGAGCGACAAGATGAGATTCACGCTCAGCCTGGCCGTTTGGGCCAGTCTTTCAACATGCGGCACCTCGAAGGCGTTTCGGAGAAGCGACTTTCCACAACAGACGAGTCCACCCCAGGTGTTCCAGTTTGCTGCAGCGCCAGAACCAACAGCGGCGCCGCAAGCAGATCTCGTGAAGCGGCAGACGACGTTGGTTGGGCTTGACACGTGTGGATACATCAACGGCATCATATCGGAGGGTATGTAACTCCTGCGTCCCCATGGCCGACACAACGTTAACCTCTTCGACTCAGCATCGGCCATCACATGTCACAATACGAACGCACGATGCGTCCCGGATACCCAGAGCTCCATCATGGGGTGTTGCGACAACACGAGCGAGGTGAACTGCGGCTTCTACTCGACCTGCATGGACAGCACCATGGTGACAGGCACCCCCTCTGGTGACTATTATCGGACACTTTGGTGGTAAGGTACACGCTCTGCGGCCCGCAGGGTCGATGCTAACGAAAGATTAGTACCGCTGGCAGCAACACGATGTGCAGGATGGGGTTGTACACCGATAGCTACTTCAAGAGCTACAGGATTTACTGGTGTCACTCGCAACCTACGACGTTTTCGATGTCTTACTCGCCGCCCCAAACAGTCGTGGCAACCACGTCCACGCCGGTCCCGACATCCCCAACGACACCATCTATGTCGGTTACTACGGTTGTTCTTACACCGACCGCGCAGGCTTCAGACCCAGTCCCGGCTGGGGCGATCGCAGGTGGCGTTGTGGGTGGAATCGGTGAGCTTCCCATTGGAAACGAGATTGTATATCCCAACTGTCTAACGTGGTTCAGCTGCCATTGGCCTCATCGCCCTGGCCTTTTTCATCGTAATTCGGCGGGGACGCAAGCGCGAACCAGAAAACCCTCCAGCTGTCACCAGTCCGGCCATGTATTACGCAGCAACAACGCAATACCCGCCGTCGGGATACGAGCAAGGCAGCGTGGGCAAGCCGGGTTCCTATTATCCCGGGCCGAGCCCGGTCGGAACCAGTCCCCCGCCTCATGCTTATATGCAGCCGGTCCATGAGGTTTACACCCAGCCCACGTCGGAACTTTCGGCTGATCGGGGTGCCACTGAACTTCGATAGACGTGACGGGTCTGTTTGTGTGAGAGTTTCAAGGCTTCTTGGTGCGTGGATGGCTGGTAATTATCATATACCTGACTTTGCAGCGTTCGGCGTTTATAAGACGGTGTTTTCTTGTACGATTTGTAGGTTGAGGTTGAGCTGCACATACTTGATACATTATACATAGCCACGGCGTTTCTTTTTTGAATCTATTTTTTTTTTTTTTTTTTTTTTTTTTTGGCAACATACTCTTCATGAAACTGATTATCATGCGAGATTTCGTGTTTGTGGAGAGGGAAG